TGGGGGGTGGGGGTGGGGAAACAAACCCTACGTGTTAACTCCTGTATATAAATGCCAATGCCTCTTTGCAGCTTTCCTTGCAGCGGGCCTAAATACACACTTACATCCTTCCTGCCTCCTCCCCCTCCAAGCGAGCTCCTCCAGTGCCAGACCTTGTGCTTTTACCTCCTCTGGCATGCAGTCCCATTCCTCTGGTGCTCAGACTGGGCCTTCAGTTGCAGGACTCAGAGGGTCAGCCCTCTTTACCCACCACAGAGACTAAAACTGTCCTTTGGGAATTTGCAATGAACAGGGAAAGCGTATAAGAATCCGCTTAATTCCCATCTATTTAATTCCACACAGTAGCAATAAAAAGCATCTGGAGAAAGGGAGCTTAGGCGAGTCTGCTCCCTTGCCTACAGCTAAGGCAGTCCATGCTTTTCAAGACACCCTCAAGGGTCAGATGAGTGGATTTGCCTTCTCTGAGCAGCTCCCATCAACTCCCACCTCCCATACACGAGGCCCTGACACAGTGCCTTCTGAAAAACACTCAGGTCTCAGCCTTCTTGCCCAGCCCTGGCTGAGCAGTTCTCTGGGAAGCCCGGCAAGACGCCTCAGAGCCAGCAGCTCTTCCACTGCCCTACAACCATCTGCAAGTGTTTATCTGAGCCATTGTTTCTGCTCTGCTTGCTTTGAGCTTCCTACTATGCCAGGCCACCACAGTTGCAGGGAATTCCTCCGTTGGCAGGTCACCACCCTGTACCCATAAGCCATGATGGATGGGGAGCTGTGCTGTCACCAGCCCCTCGATGGCTTCACCATTGAGGCTCCACCACTGAGGCTCCACCATCACCAATTTCTCCTTCAGACATCACCACTGAGTACGTTATCATCAGCCCCAGCTTACAGGTACACAAGAGTTAAAGAGTCAAAAGACTGGACCTGATGCCTGTTATGAAGCAACAGAACAAGAGCAGAGGGCAGAGCCCAGCACGAGAGGTCCCGGTCCTAATTCTCGTCAAAGTGAGAGGTTCTGCCCAGCCTGGTCTTGAGGAAAAAAGATGCGTTCTCAGTGAAGGGGTCAGAGCTCTGAATGCACATTTTATTTCTTTCCAAAAATAATTCCTCCTGTTAAAGCAGCAAACCTGAGGCTGGATATGTCCCGAGCAGAAGACAGGATTTTTTCCTCTTCCTACATCAACAGAAGAGTTTTTTCAGTTTTTCTTTTAGGAGTATAGTATCATAAAACTGGGCAAGCCTAAAACTCACCTTCCAGCATGACGTACTTTTTTTGTACAGCCAGTGACATTCAGAATTTGGGTCTGTTTCTATTTCAAAGCTCATGATTCCTCCATCGATCAGTAGCAGCAGGACGCTAATTTATGCCTCAGCTTCACATTTTAAACATTAAATGACATCTACTGGGCTTTTCTTTCCTCAAATGAAAACAGATTCATAATTACTTCCAACAGCAGTGCAAGATGGATACTCCCCCACTTAAAAGGGCCCCAGCGCAGCCCCTCCTGCTACACCATTCACATTGTCAACCAGTAAGGGCTCACGAGCTCTCCTCTGCGTTACACAGGCCCATTTGTAACAACACACCGATGAAACACAAAAACAATTGAGGGGACTTTCAGACATCTTGCACACCACAAATTCTTGCATTCATTT